CTGGCCCTCTCACATTAAAGGCCCCCTCTCTAGCAGACCTTTGATACTCCAGAACTGGGGGCAGGCAGATGGGCATGCCCACACATTCTTGGCCACGCCTCTCAGACCCTTCCTCTGCCTCTGTCCCATCTCCTTCACGCTGATCATCCTCCTCCTTCCTCCAACAGGACCTTGCCCCTGACATATTTTTTTTTTTTTTTGCCTTCGATCTCCTTTTATTGCCCTCCCCTCCAGCCTACTCTCTAGTCTCCTGTACCATAGACTCTGCTTCTCCTCCAGCATCTAGACATGGCCATCTCCCAAGGACAGAGTGTATGCCCTCTTCCCTGCTCGCTTGGCACACACTGTCTGCCCCCACACCCCAGCTGCCCCTCTGTGACACCTGAGGGCTCAAGCCAGTGGGTCTCCTCAGTTACCCCGGCCCCACAGTGTTTCCTGCTGGCCCCACACTCTTCCTGGAAGCCCTCCATCTTTCCTCCTCCCTCCTCTCTGGTCTCACCTCCTCAGCTTCCTCCCTCAGCTCCTCTTCCTCCACCTACACCGAGGTCTGGGAGTTCCCAGGCTGTGCCTCCACGCTCCTGCCTCCCAGTCATCTGCACTGGCTCCTGCACTGCCAGAGCCCCTCCACAGGCTCTGCACTGATGCCTCCCCACCCTCAGGCCAGGCAGGACTTCTCAATCACAGAACTCAGTTCTAGAACAAACCGACTTACACACACATACCGCATCACTGCTTCAAAGACCCGCAGGCAACTGGAAAGGGACACGGGGAAATTTCAGAGGGTGATGAAATTGTTCTCGACTTTGATTGTTGTGGGGTTATGCGACTCTGTGCATGTGTCAAACTGTGCAGAACTGCACACCTAGAAGGATGAATTTACTGTATGCAAATTATACCTTAACACAACAGGATGGAAAAAAGTCCCATAGGCTCCCATCATGTTTAAAACTAAGATGACCACCTTCTCCCAAACCAGCTCTTCCTCCATCATCCAGCTTCTCCCTTGGATTAGAAATCCCAGCCAAATATCCAGCCAGTTAGTCAGTCTAGAAATTCCACTTGCATATATTCCCTTGAATCCATGCCTTCAGTTCTATGTCCTCTTGGGGACTCAGGTCATCCTCACTTCTCACAAACCACCTCCGTGGGCTCCCCCTTCACACACGTGCAACTCCAGAAAAAGCAAGACCCTTGAACTCCCTCACTCCCACCAGCTCTCCTTTCCACTGGCTCTCCCGAGTTCCTGGCTGTTGCTTAGTAGGAATGACAGAAGTATCTCCAGATGCCACTGTCAAATCAAGACAACTCTCTATCTAAATATTCCTGTCTAATTCTGCACACAGCTCTTGTTTCAACGGACAAAGATAATGACTCAGTGTCCATGGTACTTACTGGAAAATTATCCTGCCAAGTTTTGAGCTTCCCAATAATAGACTTCTTTAAAATTCTCTTTGAGAAAGGAGAAGTGACCTTCCTTCCTGATCCTTTTCTACAGGCAACGAAGGGTACCCAAAAGATTCCCTACTGACCATGGAGTGTTACAGGAAAATCCCAATACATCCCCACAGGATCAATTAAGAGCAAGAAAGGGAAATTCATTGAATAGACTTGGATGGTTTTCCTTGCCCTGTGCAAGAAATCACTGTTTCTCAGCTTTTCTGCATGCCTATCGCGGTTTGGGACTTAGAAATTGGGGCATAAATTCTGTATTACACTGAAGGCAAAATTAAGACTTAGAAGTAAAGCACCTTTCCCTATACACACATAAAAATGTCTCTTTGGTGAGCAGGCTGACCTAAGGAGAAAAGAAAAGGCTCACCAACTTTGACACTGATGCGTCAAACAACAAAAGAACTCCATAAATTATACCCATGTCCAAGCTGCACCCTCAGGCAGTATATGTAAAATACACATACATTTGTTTGAAATGCACCCACTCACTCCTTGCAGATGTGGGCCTGGCCTCTTCGCACATCACAAGACACGAGATGTCTGAGCAAAAAGTGAGGATGAATAAAGCATCTCCTTGCAGAACGACTTGCAGATAGTTGAGTTAGCCTTTGTGCCAGCACTCAGCTTGAACATGTTTGCTCTTTTAAAACTGGCCCATAGTTATTCATGTGCAAATCCCCTAGTCTTGCAGTGTCCCCAAAACACTACCAATCTTCCAATTCCCCAGGACCCCTAACACAGCCAGTCAGTCACTGCCACACATCCAGCACGCACAGTACATGCCCATGGGTGTCTACCTCCTAACCTTCTGCTGGCAGGTTTTGCCTCCTAGGTGCACAGGTAGCCCAATCTACATGGCTTCTACCACTGGGTTAGGGCAGGAGGCACAACACGACCCGTTCCCTAAACCTCTCACCTACTCACGGGCAGGTCCCAGAGGGGCCATGGCAACATAGGAAAACTCTTTTTAGAGTCTTATCTCAGTGGTTCTCAACCAAGGGAGAAGTTGCCCTCCAGGGGACATGTGGCAATGTCTGGAAACGTTTTTGATGGTCACAATGGCTAGAAGGGGCAGGGAGTGGTGCTAGTCTAAAACACAGAAGCCAGGGATACTCCTGCACATCCTACAGTGCATAGGCCAGGTCCCCCCACGACAGAATTATGGGTCCAAAACGTCATTAGTCCACAGACTGAAAAACTTTGTCTTAGATAACACGCTGGCTCTGAGGGAAGGGCCCAGACTGCCCGGTTTACTTTTCCTTTGAATCGCCCAACATTAGGCCCCAAATCATGACGATTCTGCATAGTCCGCACTATTTGCAAAGCTGAGCAAAACACTCAAAGTCATCGCCCGAGTTTTTTGTTTGTTTGGGTTTTTTAACATTGAATCTTGCTCTGTTGCCCCGGGGGGAGTGCGCTGGCGCCATCTTGGTTCACTGCAACCTCCGCCTCCCAGGTTCAAGCGATTCTCCCATCTCAGCCTCCGGAGTAGCTGGGATTATAGGCGCCCACCACCACATGTAGCTAATTTTTGTATTTTTTTTTTAGTAGAGATGGGGTTTCGCCATTTTGGCCAGGCTGGTCTCCAACTCCTGACCTAAGGTGATCTATTCGCCTTGGCCTCCCAAAGTGCAGGGATTAAAGGCGTGAGCCACCGCGCCCAGCACCTGAGTCTTAAAAATGCTGCTCCTGTAGCTCCCCTTTTGTCTCTCCTCAGGTGAAAGGCTTTCCTTCGAAAGAAGAGTCACCGAAGAGCCCTCCTGCCAGGAAAACCCACCCATCCACAGCGTGACAACTGGCAGGCTGGCATCAATGCACGTTCAAATCCTTTGGCAATCAGGTAGGCCTGGCATGACGAGCTACCCAGTCATGTCACGTAGATAGATCCAAGGCCCAAGTGAACGTGCACCAGTTTTTCAACAGGCTGCAGGCCCGACTCAGGCTGGAAGACTGTACACAAGCCTTTCACCCTTCAGGAAGCTGAAATCTTGCACCCAGATGGGGAGTCCCAACACCCAAACCTGCCCCTGCAGCATTCCCCATCGCCCAAGGCGGGTTTGGCAGAGGGGCTGTTACCTCTGTGCAATGGCTAGGAATGAGCCTTGGAAAGGCTGGAGTTTAGGGGAGTAAGCCCAAACCACTCACAAGACCCCCAGTGTTTGGAGAAGAGGAAAGGCCAAAGAAAAGCAAAAGGAAAAAAGGATCAAAAAGGACCCCCTGCCCCAAGTCCACCCAAAATTCCCACCTGTGAAGCCCAACAGCTGGCTCCAGTCAAGAAAGTCAAGGTTCTGACCCAAACCTGCAGCCAGGGGCAGTTAGAGCCGCAAGACCCACAGTGCAAGGGGGTCTGGGAGTTAAGAATAACATTATTAGAAAGCGAGGCAGGAAAGCTGTATTGGCGACCAAATGGCACGGGCAGCGGGCTAATCAACAGCGGGAAGGCGGTCGGGCAGGCAGCGGGCGTGTTCCAGGGACCCAAGGCTCTGCACACGGTCCTCGTTTCCTCCCTGAAGCAGGACCGAGGGACTGAGGTGGACACAGGGACGGGAGACGGCTGCAGAGGACCCACCCTGCACCTAAGGCGCGCCCACTGCGTCCGACCTGAAGCTTGCGGCCCGCAAAACTCGCCAGGGGAAGCCGTGCTGCCACATGAAGAGAATGCAAAGGCTCAGGTGGGCGTTGAGCCCAGCTCTGGCCGCAGTCAGACGGCGGCCCGGCGGGTAGCAGCCTTACCCGGCTGCAGGAAGCTGGGATCCGCGGTCACCTTCTGGCCGCCTTTGAGCGATTGCAGCTGCGCTGACGCCCACCACGCTCTCCGGATCTATTTACCAACTGGCTGGCGCCCGGGGAGGCCCAGCGCCCAAGCCCCGCCCCGCAGGGCGCTCCCATTGGCGGCGCAGCGGTCCGCCTGCCGAACGCCGCTCGGCACGTGGGCGCGTGCTCGGCCCGTGCTCCCGGTCTGTAGCCAATCGTGACTGAGGGCGGAGCAAGAGAAGCCAGTGGGAGGCTGTCTTAGCCGACAGGTCCCCTCCCTTTCTCCTCTTCCCTACCTCCCAGCCACCTTTCTCGCTAGTTAGCAAATCCTGGCAGGAGGCCTGGCTTTGGAGTTGGATGCCTGGCTTTGGAGTTGGTGGCCTGCGCGCATGCGCCCTAAGAACAGGCGCCTTTTATACTGTGAAGCGGTGTGCGCGACCGAAAAGCCACGCGTGTGCCTGTTGTTTCCATGCGGGTGCTTGCTGGGCCTCCGCGCGGGTCTGGAAGGTCAGCCTGTGGACCGAGCAGACGCGTCTGCGGGGCGTGGAGGGTGCCGCAGCTTTAAGGACCGGGCGAGGGCTGCTCTTTGCTCCACTCTATGTAGCAAGAGCCCCTTTCCCAGTGTCCACAAAAAGCACTCTGAAGAGGGGAAGCGCTGCGAGCAAGGCCGATCGCACTTCCGCCTCAGGCGTCCGGGCCCTTCGGGCTAATGATGCTTGTTTTGTGTGGCGCCATCCTCAAATCAGGAAGCCTCTGCCACCTGCGCCCCGAGGATAGAAAGATAGGGCCCTCACCTGAGTCGCTGTCCGCCTGCCAGTCTTGTCGGCCTGCAGGTGCCTGCAGTCGCTGACCGCCGGGGTTTTCGGGGGCGCGCAGGCAACACGGGACGGAGCTCGGGTCCAGCCGTCGGCGGCCCGCGGAGCAGCCCTGGGAGGCACCGCCACAGCATGCAGATTTGCCGGGTCACTCCCTCCCTAACGAGAAAAGAAACGTATGAGCCAAGGTCGGCCAGACAGTTTCCACTCAAGTGACCCCTAAACACTGGTCTGCAGCTATGTTAGTCGTTCTTGTGGAAAAGTGAGAAAAATTTAGTAAGTTTTTCATAAAATGAAATATTCAAGCCAAAGGATTGTTCCTTATTCTGAGCCTCACCCCTCCCCCGCCATTTTTTTTTTTTTCTTTTTTGGTATTGTGAAACGAAAATTTACTATGCCAAAAGGAAAAAAATTAAGCTGAAGGCTGAGTCATGCAAGCAATGTTCCTAAGCAGGTAGCTACAGATTAAAGTATCTCCATTTTATGTTCACCTTATCTTGTGTGAAGTGCCGATTTACTGAGCGCTGGACAAATACGTATTGGCTGTTTCCCTACCTGCTCCTTTTATCACAACATGTGGATTCTGTAATGTGACCACACCTTCCATCTTTCCCCTCCATACTGCTTTTCCCCTTTAAATACTGAAGCTCTCAAAATCATCTTTGGAGAAAGGCACAGACCTGTCTCCTGGGCGCGAGTCCTTCACCTTCGCAACATAAATTTCTAAACTGATACAGATACTTTTTGGCTCACAGTATTGACATTTAACTTTATTGAAAGTCGTTTGTTTTATATTATCACTTGGAAAAATTTTACGTTAGCTGTTCTAGGTTGATGCCTAAAATTAGGGCTGCTTTATTATAATGAAATCCAGAAGTGAACCTAACTTCACAGTTCCCCATTGACCACTTGGGGCTTGGCTTCCCAGAGGTCTGCCTGAGTCCCCTAGGACCGAATTCCAAGTGTGTGTGATGTGGGTGAACACAGCTCTGTGTCAGGCTCCATTCTTCCTAGGGGTAGGGGAGGGCTTTCTTCCAGGAGAATGGAGACGGTGCCTTGTGGCAGCTGTGGCTGGGCACTGGTCAGCCGGTGGGTGCTCCTCTCTGCACAGACATTGACATGCCCTCCCCCATCTTCACCACACTAAATACAAAGTCCATTTTAAAGGAGAATTAAGGAGTTATTTTGACTCAAGTTTCAAGTAACTGCTCCAAAACAGTTCACAACTTGCCTTGATTAGGTCAGCTGGCTCCCTTTTCCCACTCAGGAAAAACAGACCAAGCCTCAAGGCCTTTAAAGGGTGGCCGTTGCTTCCTCCCTTGTAACTGTTCCCTTATACTGCCTGCTTCCTCCAAGCCTTCCCAGCCTAGTAACCCACACGACAGCCCACGGAATAACAGAATTCCTGGTTCATTCCTTCCTGTGTCTTACAAATGCTACACCATCAGATTTCAGCTGGATGAGAATGTGATTGTTATCAACTCCTGCTTCTGCCAAGTGTGGAGAGGATGCAGTGCTTTAGTTTCACAAACATGGGGCAGGAACTGGCTGCTTCCATGCTAGCTCACTCCCACCCCACCAGGAATTACAGGCACCCACCACCACATCTGGCTAATTTTTGTATTTGTTTAGTAGAGATGGGGTTTCTCTCCAGCTTCTCTCCAAAAGTACCTTGAAGACAAGCATAACCCACCACCACAAACATTAGTTTTTCTTCAAGGACTGCCAGTCTGGTTTACTAGAGAAAGGACCTCTCGCTAGTCTATGTAAAGACAGGATCTTCCTCAAATTAATACAACTTTGACCTTACTCCCTATGAAATAATGACCTCAGCTTTATTATGCTAAAGACACCTTTCTTTCCTGACCTGGCTTTTAGGGCAAATATTTTCCCTGCAAATTATTTTTCAGTTGTGATAATGGGATTGTAGTTAGGTTTTTTAAGAGTCCTTATGTTTTAGAGATACACATTATCAGATGAAATATTATATATGGGATTATCTTCAAAATATTACAGGACTAGGGAAGTGAACAGGCCATGGATTTCTTTATATTACATGCCTATGTGACATAGGTGAATTTCTACCCTGGCTTACCTTTAGGACAGGATGCCTGTGGTCAGAAGGTGCCCCTCATGACCAAACACTGGTGATACCCAAGATCACTTGACCTCTGAAGAAATTCTAACTTCATTATAATCTAATTTTCATGCTAAATGACACTCCCACCAGTACCATGACAGCTGATAATCATCATCACAATGACCAGAAGAAACCATAAAAGGACCAAAAAAAAAAAAAAGACAGCACTCTATTGAGAAGTTCTCTACCCATTCCCAAAAAAGACATGAATACCCCCTAGCTTTTTTTCTTGAGATGGAGTCTCGCTCTGTCACCTGGCTGGAGTACAGTGGCACAATCTCAGCTCACTACAAGCTCTGACTCCCTGGTTCAAGCTATTCTCCTACCTCAGCCTCCCGAGTAGCTGGGATAACAGGCAGGTGCCACCATGCCCTGCTAATTTTTGTATTTTTAGTAGAGATGGGGTTTTACCATGTTGGCCAGGATGGTCTTGATCTCCTGACCTCATGATCCACCTGCCTCAGCCTCCCAAATTGCTGGGCTTACAGGCATTAGCCACTGCGCCCAGCCCTCCCCTAGCTTTTAATGCCCAAGTCTTTCATTAAAGCAGCTCTATAATTATGACTCCCTGACTTTCACAAGCTGAAAAGTTAATTCGTGAACCAAGCTCCTGCTTCTCAATTCTATGGCCATCCAATAAAGCCTGCACTGCTTGACACTCTCTTTTGTTTTTGCAAATTGGCTTTGGGACACCAATGAGGGAAAGACTCCATTTTGGGGGGACCAGCTTCATTGGTAACAAGTTGATAATAGTGGAAGAACAACGAGTCTACTAGGGTTCATTATATTATTGTCTATATATGTTTTCAATTCTCCATAATAAAAAGGTTTTTTTAAAAAAAAAAAAAAAAAAAAAAAAAGGAGGCCGGGTGCGGTGGCTCAAACCTGTAATCCCAGCACTTTGGGAGGCCGAGGCGGGTGGATCACGAGGTCAAGAGATCGAGACCATCCTGGTCAACATGGTGAAACCCCGTCTCTACTAAAAATACAAAAATTAGCTGGGCATGGTGGTGCGTGCCTGTAATCCCAGCTACTCAGGAGGCTAAGG